TGAGTGGGGTCTGAAGAGTCAGTGGTAGTAATGTATCAAAATTAATTTCGTGACATTGATGTTGTATTGTGGTTATGCAGGAAAACCTAACACAACACACTGCTGTGGAGTCAGATCTGACTCATAGCGACTCCTCCTTGGGTTTCCAAGGCAGTATCACTACAGAAGTACATTGCTCAACCTTCCTTCCGAGGAGTGTCTGGTGGGTTTGAACCTCCAGCCTTCTGGTTAGCAGTCAAATGCCTTAAGCACTATGCCACCAGAGTTCCCTTGTAGAAGGCACACATGAAAATATTCAGAAGTGATGGGGCATCAGGTCTGGAATTCACTCTGAAAATGGTTCAGGAAAAAATTTCTCTGTGCTGTTCTTGCAAGTTTTCTTTAATTTTGTGATTGCCTCAAAATAAAAATAATTCATAAAATTTAAAAAGGAAAAACACAAGGTACAACTTTACACGTACTGGGATGGCTATAGTAGGAAAGACTTTTTTGTTATTGTCTAATAAAAGAGTTCATGAGGATGTAGAAAAACTAGAACCTAGATAAATAAATGATGGGAATGTAAAATAATGTAGCTGCTTGGAAAACAATCTGGTAGTTCCTCAAAAAGTTAAACATAGAGCTACTATGTACCCATTTTGGTTGATTCTGACTCACAGTAACCCTACAGAACAGAGTAGAACTGCCTCATAGGGTTCCCAAGTCTGAAATTCTTGTAGAAACAGACTGCCTCATCTTTCTGCCAACTGATGAGTTTATACCATAAAACTTTTTTGGTTAGCACCTGAGTATTTAACCATCGCAATTCCACTCCTAGACACACAGAATTGAAAATACATGTCTACACAAAATGTTGTACACAAATGTTCATAGTCGTACTATTCAAAATAGCCAAAAAGTAGATACAACCGTGTGATAGTCAAGGCTGTGTGTCACCTTGACTGGGCCGTGGTTTTCAGTACTCAGCAACTGGATGAAGTTATTCCCCATGATGAGATTGGAATCAACCCCATGGTGGAATCTGCTGGGAGCAGCTAAGTAGTTGCCTTTGAGGTGTGGCCTGTTTCCGGTATATAAGGACAAGCTTTGAGGAAGGTCTCTAGCTTTTGGCATATTTGGATCCTGCATTTGGCTGTCTTCATTTCCAGTTCCTGGACTTGTACTAGAGGCCTGCTGTGTTGCCTGCTGATCTTGGGACTGTACCATTTTACCTGCTGACCTTGGGTTCATCAGCCTCAGTGGCCAACAGCTGCTTGAGTTAGGAGACACCTCTAGCTTCTATGGACCTGGAATAAGAGACAGAGCTAAAGCCCACAGTTGAGGGGACTTCACCCAGCTCCTAGAGCTGGCACACTGAATTTGGACTTTTAGCCTCTTAAACTGTAAGAGAAGGAGTTCTGGTGGTGCAATGCCTAAGGCATTTGACTGCTAATCAGAAGGTTGGTGGTTCAAACCCACCAGCCACTTCACAGGAAGAAGACTGGGCAATCTACTTCCATAAAGATTTACTGCCCTGGAACCCAATTGGGGTCGCTATGAGTCCAGAAACCCAATGGGGGTTGCTCTGAGTCAGGACTGACTGGATGGGAGTGGGTTTTTTTTTCTTTTTGGTTAAACTGCAAGAGAATAAGTTCCTATTTGTTAAAACCATCCACTTGTGGTATTTCTGTTATAGCAGTACTAGAGAACCAAGGCAAACCCAAATGTCCCTCAACTGATGAATGGATAAGCAAAATGTGGTTTATTCGTATGGTACCTTATTCAGACTTAAAGGAAATGAAGTAACATGGTACAGTGAATTAATATGACTCTTTTAGCCATGGTCTTTGTGGGTCAGACCAGATGATGGGTAGGACTATGGAAATGTGAAGTGCTTATGGCCCAACAAGGAGATGGATAGCTTGTTGTTAATGGTGTTAAAAGGGATGCATGACCCCCTTATGGGTGGGACCATGGGAATAAGGTGTATGGAACCCTAACATGGGTATTGATCAGTTTTGCCATTCCTCTGGGCTTGAAGTGAACCATCCCAGAGGCAGAAGGGGGGAATCTCACTACCATAAAGACAGAAAGAGCAGCCAGAGGTGGAGTGCATCCTTGGACCTGAGATCCCTGTGCTGGACTGCCTTGGCAGAGAGACAACAGAGAGACAGCGGCAGTAGAGGCAACAGAACAAGAGATCGGCCTGAGGTGGGGTGGTGGGCTTGGTGGCCCACAGAGTGAGAAAGCTGAGCACCTTTGCGCAGGAACCTTGCTGGCAGACTGAGGTTCACCTATTGGCTGTGTTCAAACTGCTTTGTAACGCTTGCTTGAGCAGGATGGAGGCCAGGATGAGATGCCAAGAGCCAAAGAAAGGTGTGCCTAAGGACTTGGCTAGAGGCTGTCCTGATCAAAGAATTGTATCTAGAATGTTCTGGACCTGAATTTTAACTTCTTGCTTCCCTAATAAACCCCATAATCATGAGTGTTGTCTGAGTTCTGTGTGGCCACTGCAAGGAATTGTCTGACCTAGCAGAGAAGTGGAGAGTGCTGAGGGAGGGGCAGTTGGTGTCAGAACTGGTAAAAAGGTTAGAAGGTAGTGTCATGTTTACCTCCACCTTATAGGAATAAGCTTTGGACTACTGATGGTGATTTTCTCTCCTTTTCAGGAAGTAGAGGTCAGAAGACCACACCCCCATGCCATTTTTGCAATAACTGATACAAGCTACAATGTGGATGAACCTTGAAAACGTTAAACTAAATGAAACAAGCCAGACACAAAAGGCCACACATTGTATGATACCATTTATATGACATGTTTAGTATAGGTGAATCCATAGAGAAAGAGGTAGACTGTAGTTGCCAGGGACTAGGGGAGTGACTAGATACAGGGGAGTTAATGGATACAGGGTTTTTGAGGGATGAAAATGTTCTATAATTAGGTAATAATGATGATTAAACAGTGTTGTAAATATCCTAAAAATCACTGAATTGTACACTTTAAAAGAGTGAATTTTATGGTAGGAATTATATCTCAATAAAAAAAAGTCTATGATAATGCAATGGACAGACTATCAGTTTATAATCTAATGTCAAGTTTTATTCACTTTTCTTACAATATGCTATCATTCAAAATATACCTCATAAGTAACTCATGCATATAGTAGGCACTCTATAAATATTTTGCTTTAATATTTAGCTATATTTTAGGATGACTAAAAATCCTGATGTAAAATCCCAGTTGGGAAGTGCATAATCCCATCATAGACAAAATATATAACTTTACAATAAACATTTTTGTAAGAATTTGCCCAAAAGGGGGAACACTTACAATTTGGACATTAAAACAAAAAAGTAAAAAGCAAGATGAAACACAATACTAATACAGGTAGACAATGATCCCTGGATCAGTGGTGCTTTTAGACCAAGGGCTACCTGCACCCTGTGGCCTTAAGACTTTCTGACATTCAGTTAAGATAATTATAGACCTAAAGCCTTCTTAACTGGAAATGTTGCAAGAATATATGAGCACTAGTCTGTCAAAACCTTTAACTACATTTCTTACATAAACCAGAAAAAATGTAAATACATATTTTATTCTGCAATAGAAAAAAGCCAATGCTTTCCATCTTAAGCAACAAGAGTGATCCACAAATAAGCATGAAGTCACTCTACAGAATCTATGGTTTTATTTCTGTGGGAAATATGGTGGAAGATCAGTGCAAGAACCTTAGTCCAAATATAAAACAACAAATTCCTGCATTTCAGGGCCTTCTGATGTTTAAAGCAACAAAACAGGCTGTTTAACACACTCAATAAATATTTTCTAAATCATTATTTTGGGTTGGAATGTCTAGTAAACATTCACTCAAACTGTAAAAAAAAGTAATAAGTAGCACTATTAAGTAACACTATTATTATGAGGGGAGCTCTGGTAGCATAGTGGCTAAAGCACTTGACTGCTAACCAGAAGGCTGGCGGTTCAAACCCACCAGCCACTCCTCGGAAGGAAGGTTGGGTAATCCTACTTCCGTAGTGATACTGCCTCGGAAACCGGAAGGAAGGTTGGGTAATCCTACTTCCGTAGTGATACTGCCTCGGAAACCTAAGGAGGGGTTGCTATGAGTCAGGGCCGACTCGACCGCACATAACAACAACAACAACATTATTATGAGAGGGAAAAATTAAAAGCAGCCAGATGCATAACCTTAAAAAAATAGTTATGCAAACTTATAATTAAATAATCTTTAAGTACAAAATGAAAATGTCTTACAGTGTTTTTCAAAACTACATAATTCTATAAAAATTCAAATATGTGGACTATGTAAATACATGGAAATGCATATATAGAATACTATGACATGAAAAAGCAAAATTAAAAATATAAAGTGATTATAACTGTAAAAGTGAATACACTACAATAACAAAAAGTGAAGTGAATTTAAATTTATAGACATAAATAGATTCAAATATTCATCAGGTTTTTTTTCCTTTGTTGCTTAAGATTGTAACAAAATAAAAAAGAAAATATAGACTATTACTTTAGATAAAACTATACTTCTAAACAATAACTACTGGACTATATATGTGAACTCCTAGAACAGAGATTTACAAAGCCCAGAATTGTTGATCTTAAATGTATCCTATAGGAGATCAGCCCTCCTTTGCTGATCTTCACTTTACAACACCTTCTGGGCAATTGCACAGATATAACTGTCCTTTTTAAACAGAAAAAGAAAATACAAAGTACTGTCCAAATAAGAAAACTAAACAGCGTGCTAACGAAATCTATCTACTTAATCTGTTTCACTTCTGCAAAAAGCCATTAACAGAGGGTTTTAAAAACTAATTCTATATACATATTTTACATAACATATATTTACACTATAAATACTTTAAAGAATGGCTTTTATATAATTCTTTATTTCAATATATACTTTATTAATTTAATTGCAAGTTATGGAAATGCAGTCTTTTAGATTTATTATTGAAAATTATTCTCTGTATGATTTAGAAAATGTTTAATTTCTTGGATAAAGCATAGCATATTTAGAAGTCCGAAAGCCAAGTAAATCCCTTATTTCATTTCGGAATTTTGACAGATCTTGGCGCAGTTCATTTAAATTTTCCACAGTTGCCTGATCTGTACTTTGCATCTTCTGTCTCATTGAAGTCAAGTAACGATGTACTAAACAGCACATCACTTTTTGGTAGTTTTCATCTCTCTTCTGTTTCAAATTTCTCCATTCCTTAAAAGCAAACAATAATATGATACTAACAATATACAAAAATAAAACTTAAATGAGGTGGATTTTTTTAAAAACATTTACAGGGTCAAATACCTCTTCTAATGCTTTTTATTAGGCTTTATTTTTGCCACTATATGTTGCAAAATAATATTCAACATTTGTTTAAAAAAATATAGCCAGCATAATTGTTTTGCTCACTTAACTGTATGCTTATCTTGATTTAAAAAAATTAATGTTAGGAAGCTTCAGTCTATAGTTGGGATCAGCAAACTATGACTCACCAGCCAAGTATGGTCTACATCTTGTTTTCATATGACCTGAGAACTAAGAAAGTTTTTACAGATTAACACTGACAATCAATCTGATGACAGGAAACACTAACTTTGAACTCCAGTTAAACAAACTGTTATCTTCCCCCAAAAAAATAATTCTATTCTTCTTATTAGTAAACCTGTGTTATAAGAAGTTATACCCAATTATTGTTATATTTTGAATTTGTCAATAAAAATTTTATGGAAATTTATTTTTCTTGTTGTTTTAGCCCATAGACAAAATATTCTGTCTGTTGGCTTGCAAAATATAATATATTAGTAAATTAGTAAAAAATATATATATAGGAGCTCTGGTAGCATAGTGGCTAAAGCACTTGACTGCTAACCAGAAGGCTGGCGGTTCAAACCCACCAGCCACTCCTCGGAAGGAAGGTTGGGCAATCCTACTTCCGTAGTAATACTGCCTCGGAAACCCAAGGAGGGGTCGCTATGAGTCGGGGCTGACTCGACGGCACATAACAACAACAACATATATATATATACATACACACACACACACATATATGTTTTTACTAATCAGTGTATATACATATATATGTAAATGTGTGCATATGTATACACACACTAAATAGTAAATTTATTAATCTGACCCTTTACTGAAAAAGTTTGCCAACCCCTTTTTCATAGCAGTATGTGTTGAATTATTCAAAGAATAACTTTTAAGAAGAACCAGAAAAATATAAGCTGATGCTAGTGGTTATTCTTTATCTATGCTGACAGTATAGGTGTCCTGAATATTTCCCATGTTTTAAAACTATGAGTTTTCATATGTAAGGAAAATCTGAAAACCTTAAAAACCATAGCTGTCTCTCAATAATTATTTATGGAACCCTTACTTTATGTTCAACACTATGCCATACATTAGGGATAAAGCAGTGAGAAAAAAAAATCAGACAGCTGTACCCTTTAAGGAGCTTGCATATTTATAGTTTAGGAAATTTCTGAGATTGGGAATTGTTAAAACTTTACATTTGCATTTCAAACTCCCAATTTCTTACCTTTAAACTGTTTTGCCGTTTGACCCTGCCTTTTGATGTATGAGAGCAAATCCACTTACTGAGGCTACTAATCATATAGCAGATAGTCTTTGGTGAAGGAATGATGTTGAAAGGCGGGGGTAATGTACATTTGTCATCGAAGTAGCTAAGCCACAACTTGGCTCGAGCAAACTTCCATTCTTTGTCTTCATGATTCTATAAGAGACACATGAAAAAGCAATACAAAATATAAATGCATACATATATATGTATACATGGATATACAGAGAAGTGTCTGTATGTGTGTATAGACAAAGAGGGAAAAAGAGAGAGATCATTTTTAAACTGTCCCAAAACTAGATCCAAAATTTACAATTAATATAATCACTTGCTGTTTTGGTTACCTACTACCGCTCTAACAGGAATATACCACAAATAGGATGGCTTGAAGGAACAGGAGTTTATTTTTACAATTTAGAGGCTTTAAGTCCAAGTTCAAAGTGCTCTAGGGGCTAGATAAAAGCCCCTCAAACCTTGGGCTTCAGCTCTGCCTCCTGATCCCAGCCCACTGAAGCTAGAAGCTTTTCTTCACTCAGACAGCGGCTGGCTGCTGAGGCTGCCAAGCCCAAGGTTGACAAGTAAAAAGGCACAGTTCTGATGTTACCAAACCACATGACAGGCCATTAATTCAAATCCACTGGAAGTCTTAAGGTCGGCAGAGCATGGCAGGCTGCTGAACAACAACATGGCTATGTGCAGGGTCCAAGCATGCCATAAACTAGAGACCATTCCCAAAGCTGCTGCTTATATACAGGAAGCAGACCACATCCCTAGGGCAGCTATTCAGCTGCTCACAATAGATTCCACCATGGAGGTGATTACCAGTCTTATCATGGGGAATACTACATCTAGCTGCCCAGCCACTCAACCAGACCCAGTCGAGTGGGCACACAAACTTAACAACCACACTTGCACTGTAAAAACTATATTTAATTTCACCCAAATCTCAATAAAGTTATATAAAAAGAAAAAAAATCCAAGTTTTTTTTTAAAAAACCATATTTAATTTTCAAATGATGTTATTTCTCAATTCTTATACTGTTTACCTTAGATATCACATGTATTTGATGATTGAAAACAATGTTTTCATTGTAATTTAATTGTAATTTCATTGTAATTGCTTTCAACAATGATATGATGAAAACAATGTAAAGTTGTTAGAATGAACACTTACTGCTATCAACTGAAAGCTCTTATGAAGCATTGCCACCAGCAGCTTCGTTAGCACGATCACAACCACAACATTGTATGTACCAACAATAACAGCTCCAACAAAAGACTGCAGTTCCTCTCCATAGCTAAACCTTGTGACAAAGATTGCCACATGTGCTAAGGAGAAAATATACCAGAACAAAGCAAAGCAAGTGCCAATGAACCTGTAAAGATAATTGCATTTATGTTAAGGAAATCAGTTCACAGAAATTAACGAATTATTTAGACCAAAATTATTTTTGAAAAACTTTGATAATTAGTAGCACCTTATTAAATAAATGACGATGTTGCTGTTGTTAGGTGCTGCTGAGTTGGCTGCAACTCATAGAGACCCTATGTACAACAGAAGAGAAACATTGCCCCATCCTGGGCCAGCCTCACAATCCTTGCTGTATCTCAGTCCATCATTGCAGTTTCTGTGTCAATCCATCCCATTGAGGGCCTTCCCCTTTTTTGTTGACCCTCCACTTTACCAAGCATGATAAAGTCACCACTTGTCTTGTCAGTGTATCGTACTGTGGTGGCTTGTGTGTTGCTCTGAGGCTGGAGGCTATGTGACCGGTATTTCAAATACCAGCAGGGTCATCCGTGGTAGACAGGTTTCAGTGGAGCTTCCAGACTAATATAGAGCCCTTCTCAAAGAATTGGCCAGTGAAAAAACCTTACGAATAGCAGTGAAACACTGATATATTACCAAAAATGAGGATAATTCCTACATTTTAGGAATTAAGAACTCAAAAAGAAGATACATTATCCCAGACTATTTAACCTCTTGCTACCTTTCTGTTTATTCTTAACATAGTGTCTAGACTGTATATGATCCTATTAAAATCTGACTAGATTTTGTTACTCCTCTGCTCAAAGACTTCAAATGATTCTCAGTCTCAACAGCCCAAAGTTCTCATAAGGATTGGCAAGGTCCTACATGGCTCCCATGACCTCTCTGACTCATCTCTGACAACTCTCCCTTTTATTCACTCTGTTCCAGACACACCCGCCTTCCGGCTTTTCCTTGAACATGCCAGCCATGCTCCCAGCTCATGGCACTTGCCTTATCTCTGTAAATGCTCTTCCTCCAGATATCTTCATAGCTTGCTCCTTCATCTGCTTTATGTCTTTACTTGAATGTCATCTCTTCTGGGGCCTTTCCTAGACCCCTATCTAAGACTGCACCTTCTTATATATATATATATATATATATATATAGGAGCTCTGGTAGCATAGTGGCTAAGGCACTTGACTGCTAACCAGAAGGCTGGC